GCCCAGAGTCTGCCTCATCCCAGTTCAATCCAAAGTCTGTTCCGGAGTCCGCTTCGGTACCAGTCCAGGAGCTCGTTCCTGAGGACCCAGTTCTAGCAGCCCCGGAGGGCAATTCATCAGCCCCCGAGGGCATTCAAGGATCAGTCTCTGAGTCGGTTCCAGTAGCCCCCGAGAGCGGTTCAGCTACCCCCAGGGGCAATCAAGAGTCAGTTCCTGAGTCTACTCCTGCGGCCCAAGAGGGTATTTCAACAGCCCCCAAGGGCCTTCCAGAGTCAATATTTGAACCTGGTCCAGAGGCCCCTAAGGGTATCCCTGTTCTAGCCCCAGAGCCCACTCCAGACTCCGCTCTTGATACAGAAGCAGTTCCTGTCAGTTTTGTCACATCCTCAGATGCCAACCCTGAAAATCTTGCCAGTCATGTAAAGCCCACAGAAAATAATCCTATCTCTCATGCTGTACCCTCGGAAACTGTCCAGGTTCTGGCCAAGGAGGCCCTTCCAGAGAGCCCTAATCTTCTCATTGAAGCCACCTCAGAATCCCTTGCCAGTCATGTTTTGCCTACCAGGAATATCCTGGAGTCCACCCATAATACCCAGTCCAGCAGGAGACCCTCGCCTGTGAAACGTGTTCTTGTTGGGAGAGGTGCCACCAACTATGCCCCCACCCTTATCCCATCCTCTGTCTGTCCCGGTCTGCAAGGTTTCCCAAAGCCGGCACCACCCTGGTCAGTCCTTAACCATTCCTCTGGAACGTATTCCTCCCTCCCTATCCCGCCCCATGTGTTTTCTGACAGGCTTGGATTTCCAAGGGTCACTAGCCGCCCGCCCCCCCAGTCGGTACCATCTTGGCCTCCTACCAACCCTGTGCACCCTTAGACTCCACCCTGGATGGACGCCTGGAGGCATCCTTTGGAAGGGGGGTACTGTCAGGATCCACAGTTGACATAAACTGTATAATCACAAATTAACCATGGTTTTACTACTAACCATAGTTTAAATATGGTATTTGTAGTAAAACGGTGGTTATACAAATGGTAATCAATACGCCAAAATCCATGGTTACACTTTTACTGTAGTAAAACCATGGTAAGGGACATCAGGTTAATACACCAAATATTTCATTTAAATTCTTATATACTTTTTCTTACACTTTAAGGCTATTCTCATCCATCAATATGTTCAATGTTATCATTACTGTTCCCTTTTGATACTTCACTCATACTGCGTCGCTAGACGCTATGGGAAAAACTCCTTGTTCTCAGAGGACTGAAGCCTTTACAATCACACAGTGTAACTGCACGGCCATTGGTTCGTGCAGCAAATAAAAAACAAACCAATGGCTCGGCAGCAGAGCTGCACGAGCCTATGGTGACGAAGCCCGATAGAATGGGTGGGGCCATCTGGCTATATAAGCTGGCATTTCGCCATAGGATCTCAGATTAATTCTCCTTCAGCGATGATGATCTTCTCTTCGCCGACCCACAAGACTTGAAGCTGCTTGCCTCTGCATTTCTCGCTCCGTGCTTCCAGCCCGAGCCGCTTTCAGCACCCGCGCAGCCCTCAGCTCATCCCCAGCTGCCATCCGGTGAGTTATAAAAGAGCAAATTTCTAGCGACATTGTTGCAAATGTAGCACTGCGAGTGTGGCTCATGCAGGGAATCCTGCACGATGCAGAAGGGCAGTGAGCGCGTCGGCTGTCTGGGTACTACGCCCACACAGAGACTGCGCGCTCACTGAGACAGAATGCTCTCGCACAGAGTATGAGTCTCGCTCTTCTCTGCTCACTGACCGCCTTCAATGAAGGCAGCTCTGCTCTCCCGTTTCTCCTCTCTCAGCAAAGCTCGGAGAATGAAACAACAGAGCCACGGAGCTGAGCAACCAGGTTTGAGTGATCCTACGCCAGCACAGAGCTCGCATGTTCGCTCTTCCCGCAGCGCTCTGATCCGCCAGTGTTTTTACATGTGAGAATCAGCACCCCTCGTTACATTGAGTGGCTTTATCCTCTTAGGCGGATCGGAGTAGAAAGCTAACGTTGACAGCTCTGCATTTGTGTGTGCGTCGCTGAAGCTGCGCTCACACAGACAGGCTGCTTTCATACATCCCGCATGCTCACTTTGATCTGCCAGCGTGTGTTAACACGTGAGGATTAGCACCCCTCATTACATCGAGTGGCTCAATCCTTCTAGGCAGATCATAGAATGCTACGCTGGGTGGCCCCGCCTCCCCCGCTCTCACATTTCTCTTCTCCCAGTCCCCTCGGAGAAAGAGACGATAAAATCGTGGGGTTGAGCGATCAGGCTTGAGTGATTTTTCGCGCCGGGTATAGCCCGCGTGTTTCACTAAGCACACAGCGCTTTGATCTGCCAGTGTGTTTACACTAAGGATTAGCGCCTCTTGTTTTTAAACCCAGGTTATTACTCTCTCTCTGCACTTCCTCCTTCTGAGGAGGACCAGGAGTTTAACTTTCTCTGCCTGGTTAGGGCACTGAGAATTTACATCGAGCGTTCCGCCCCGTTCAAGCAGTCGGAACAACTTTCTGTATGCTTTGGTGGCCGCACCAAAGGGTCCCCAGTCACAAAGCAGAGGATTTCTCGATGGTTAGGTGAGAACAGGCATTGCCTGTTTTATCAGGTACGCTTTTGGCCCTTTCAGTAGTGCTGAGGCTGTACAAAACCATTGCAACGATTATCTAAGGCTGGGCTGACCTCCGTGAGTTCAGCCCTCTTGCCTCCTGCAGGGTTCACCCTACATATAATTGATCCCTCTGAGCCTTTAATGCTCAAAGCCAGTTCATGTCAGTCGTTCCTCTTTCATGACACGGCGGGATTGTATTGGTTCCCCATAGTGTCTAGTGACACAGTACGAGTGAAGTATCGAAAGGGAACGTACTTGGTTACTTACGTAACCTCGGTTCCCTGAGATACGGGAGCGAGTACTGCGTTCCTTGCCGTGCCATGACGCTGCACGACTTAGTGTCGTCGTTTCAGTCGAATTTACCACCTATAAGATCCTATGGCGAAATGCACGCTTATATAGTCAGATGGCCCCGCCCATTCTGGCGGGCTTCGTCTCCATAGGCTTGTGCAGCTCTGCTGCCGAGACATTGGTTCGTTTTTTATTTACAGTACGAACCAATGGCCGTGCAGTTACACTGTGTGATTGTAAAGGCTTCAGTCCTCTGAGAAAAATGAGTTTTTCCCATAGCGTCTAGTGATGCAGTACTCGTTCCCGTATCTCAGGGAACCAAGGTTACGTAAGTAACCGAGTAGGTTTCTACTTTTCTGCAATTTTCACCAAACTTGTCACAGATGATCTTTAGACTAAACATCTCAAACAGCCACCAGTATATATGTATGAATTGGTTTTTATATTTGTTTACTTTATTGTAAATGTAGGAAAAATGTAGGAAAAAAACTCATGCCACATGTATGCAATAAAAAAAGGACACGTATGCAAAAAGACAAGGACATGAGCATCATATGTTTGCTGAAAGTGACAAAAGGCTGTAACGGTTGTGCGTAAAGCCCTTTGTAGAGGTTTCTGGTAAGAGCATGTAGACATTTTGTAATGATTTGACCACATCATTCCAGAAACCCCAAAACAGCCATTTACTTTTGAAAAAAGAGATAACTATTAAAAAATAATGTATAATTTGATCTATTAAAATTTAAATGTTTAAATAATATTTCTGTTCAGTCCAAACAGCTTTTTCGTATATCTATATAATTTCTGAAACTGTCCCTTATTTTAGGAAGAGAACTGAATTTTGTTTTCAGTATGTATACATTAGAATTTTACTGATGTTACTTTTTTGTCTTTACACTTTATCTTGTTCATCAATGCTTTGCAGCTCACAAACTCCACATCACTGCAGCAGTAATCAAACTCTCTCTCTCTCTCGCTCGCTGTGTGTGTGTGTGTGTGTGTGTGTTTAGTTAAATAGGCTACACCCATGATCTGATTCTTGCAAAACACGTGACACAATGAAAGCGAAACTAAACACAATACCAAACTGCACATCTCAGCAGCTGAACCTGGAAGTTTAGCAGTGGTGTATATATATATATATATTTATTTCATGCTTATACATGTCATACACTTCATAAACCTTGACACAAATCTACATATATATAGAAATTAAAATCTGTATCTAGTGTGTGTGTGTGTGCATATGCTTATTCACTTTGATTTATAGCCAGGGCCTGATTATCCATAGACGGGATTGGGGGAGTGCCCTGGGGCACCAGCCAATAGGGGGGCACCAAGTGATTAAGATAATGACTAGACCTTTCAAATATTTTTCATGTTTTGTATATATTATTTTGCTGGAAGAGATGCAGATCCATACAAAATGAACAGTTAATGATACAATATATACAGAGAGAATATAAAATATTTGCATATAAAGAACTGCGATTGGGTCAGGTCACAGTGTATTTGCCCCCTCCCCCAGTCAGTTGAGCCGGGTCGGGCTGGGCACTTCAAATGTGGTCACCCTAGGGTACTACACTGTGTTAATCCGGGCCTGTTTATAGCTATAATTTTAGTTTAATTTGCTTTTTTATCCTTTCTATAGATGTAATGTGACTAGTCCATCTTGTTTTATCTTTGCATCTATTCAAACTATTATTTCAGTGCTGCTGTGCATACAGTATATGTAATATATTAATTAGTGTATTTTTATTTTTATTTTATTATAACATAAATGTATTCCCTGATTAATTTTTTTTAAGCTAATAGTTCATATTGTCACACGTTAACTCTATTTAGTTTAATAACGCACATTTTAATTGAACACAATTGTTTTAAAGATATGCATTTAATTTGAACACAAAGATACATTCAAATATACAAAATATGCATCTGCATGTATATACTACACACACACACACACTCACACTAGATAGCTTTTCATATATATGTAGGTTCGTGTCCAGGTTTATGTAGCATAAGACATAAATGGGTATAAGCATGAAATATGTTTTTTTTTTTTTTTACTCATTATAAATTTGCCATTTTGCTATTAAGACCAACCATTTCTTCTGCTTTCTCTATCAGAAATGTTCCATTCTCCCAGGTGTCCATTGCTGCCTTTGCTATGGCATCAGACACAGATTCAGCTTCTGCTGCTGCTTTCCAACCAGAAATTCCTCCAGCCACACCTCCTACAAAAGCGGCAGCTCCAAGCACAGTTGCAGCTAGTGTACCTGCACCTGCTACTGCTCCTTCTGCCACCGCTGCTCCTACACCCGCCTCTGCAAATGCTGTTTTTAGAGTTAAATATGATTTTAAAATATACAGAACTGGAGCTACTACAACACCGATTCCGATAAGAGCACCAAGCACAGCCTCTGTTGCTGCTCCTGCAAACTGCCTCAGATAATTGCAATGAACAATTTTCTTTGCTTTTTCTCGTTGCTCTTCTGGAGGCACATTTTCTTCGGTTATATTCTTCACCTCCTCTTGAATGTGTTTCTCCACTTCTAGAAGCACCTCACTGGTGAAGCGGCCATTTTCTTCCACAATCTTGTCAATGGTCTCCAGCAGATTTTTCACCTGTACCTTGTTGCTCTTGTTGCCCCGTTTACGTTTATTCCAGTATTTGTTGTCGATGACGTGACAGCGACCTCCACATTTATCAACCAGCTCCTGAAGCTGTGAACAGTCCTTCATAAACTCTTCAGTGGTCTTGCCTTCTAGCTGCTCACCAAAAGTGAATAAGATCACTGTGTGTTTCAAGACGTGCTCATCTTTGAAGGTGTTCAGGATTTTCTGTACCACCTCGTTTTCATGTTCTGTGTATCTTCCGACCTTTAGGACCACGACAAAAGCATCGACCTCAGGAGCGCAATCAATCAGAGCTTTGAGGATCTCAGATTTTGTCTCCTCATCATTATGATCCGTGTCAAAGGCTCCTGGTGTGTCAATAACTGTGATCTTTCTGCCATGAACCTTCCTCTCTCTTTTTTGATATTCAACTATAACATTTGAAGCCGACGCTTTAGTGGTGAACACATCTTCTCCAAGAATTGTATTCCCAGCGCTGCTTTTGCCGTCTTCTGTTTTCCCAAGAAGGATGATCTTTCTTTCTGGCAGCGAAACACTGGCTGTTGGAAACAAACATTTTATAATGTGAGCTTTACTTATAAGATCCTGAATTAGTTATTTATTGAAACTTCTGAACAAGAGTTATCTGGAAAAAAAAAACTGTTGGTTATTTCTGCTGTTCCTAAAGCGTTCAGTAGCTCTACTCTCTGCCATTGTAAACGCATTTACACTTTAAATGTGACATTGTGCAACAATCATGACTTACAGGTACATCCCATGATCCTTCTCTGTTGATGATGTACGTCTCTGTAAGTGAAATGATATCCAGGTTAGTCTTGGCATTAACCAATCAATATATGACATTTCAAACTACATATGGGTAACACTTTATTTCGATAGTCCACTTTAGACATTCTATTAACAGCAAGTAACTTTGCATTGAAAATTAATGAGAATTAGTTGACATGTAGTTACAAAGTTACTTATAGTTAGTAGAATGTCTAAAGTGGACTATCGAAACAAAGTGTAACCGTTACTGTCTTTAAATGGTGCAAAATGTAAAGTATACTCACTTTACTGTTTTAAATCCCTTTCTTTGTTTCTCCCAAAAAAATAAAAAATAAATCAAGTTGTTGATGGACGTTCACTCCAGCTTTTGCTTTCTTAAGTAAGCCTGGTAAGAAACTTTAAGAATCATTCTTCAAGAGTCAATGCTTTTCTAACAGATAAATAAAACCTGTAATCACAGTCTTGAAAGTTGTAAAATCTTGAAAGCAAAGGGCGCCGTGGTGGAGGGAGTCAACCTTCACCTAATCTTCTGAGATCATCAGTTTTTTCAAAAAACGACTGAAGACACACCTCGTCCACATGCCCTTTACCACAATCAAACAAAGAAACTTACTATAACTCCTACTTATTTAAAAAAAAAAAAAAAATTGTATTTCTACATTTCATTTCTGCTTGTGCACAAATCAGTTTTTAAAAATGAATTGTTGATCTCTATAATTGCATTTCATTAGTCAAGGTCTAAGGAAGAACACTGTCATGACATTCATAATTCATGTTCAGTGTTTTTTGTGTTCATTTGTAAGCTGTATCCATACAGCCATGAATCAGCCAGGATTTCAATTGCTGGAAACCTGCATATTAAAAATAAAATATAGCTTTTGCATCTGAGTGTTAATTCTCATGTTGTACAAGCGCCATCTGCTGGACAGAGAGCCATCCAACAACATCAGGTCATTAGTCACAGATCAGGGCTGTTCAATCCTTCTCCTGGAAGTCCACTGTCCTGTAAAATGGAATTTCTTATCTGGAGACCCTGATTAACTGGTTCAGGTGTGTCTAATTAGGGTCAGTGTCTCCAAGCAAGAGTATGGACAGCCCTGCTGTAGATGCTGAATGAACTACAACAAACCTTTACAAAGTCACAGGTGTATTCATGTTTTTTGGAGATACACTGTCACAGCACAGACGGTTGTTGGGTTAGTTGGTTATTGGTTCCCCAAGTCTAAATTGGTGCAAATAGGAGTGCACTTCTGTATTGAGAAAAAATAATACAATCAAAATTATGGCAACAGATTACAATGTCACATGTTCAGTTTGTTTTGTCATAGGTTTCTTTGTGTTTCCTGTTTGGTTCCTGTTTTTCCTTATTTGGTCATGTTCCTGTGTTCATTAGTTCCCTTGCTCATTGTTTAATTATTAGTTTACCTGTATCACCTGTGTCTAGTTAATCACCCTCGTTTGTCTTGTATTTAAGCCCCAGTCTGTTCAGTCTTTGTTTGTCCGGTCACAGTTACTCAACATTGTGTTTCCCATTGTTCTTCTGTCCTTTTGTTATTAAACTGAGAGTTTGGTTTTCACCAGCTGTCTCCTTCGACTTCCTCCTGACACAACCGTGACAGATGACCGGACCAAAAAACATGATGACAAGGGCTGAGGACAAGCTGTGTGGGCTACGGCAAAGTGGTCGGACTTTGGAGGGATATGTGGAGGAATTCCTCGAGCTTTCCAACAGGGTGTGTATGATTTTCCTTTGATCGTTAGTTAACGATCGTTAGTTAAGTTAGTTAATCTCGGATCTCAAGTCTCCTCATCCAGCCCCCTCAGAAGCACGCCGTGTCTCCCCAGCTCACCCCACGCCGGGAACCCCCACATACCACACCAATGGCTCCGCCCACTTGCCGAAGCCAGGGTGTCCCCGTATTCTCCAAAGCTCCACCGTAGTCCTCAGCCCAGGAGCGCCAGCTGCTTGGAAGTCTAGACGGCCGGCCTCTCAGCAATCAAGCTCGCCGGCTGCTCGGAAGTCAAGACGGCCAGTCGCTTTCAAGCTTGCCGGCCGCTCTGAAAACAAGGCCACCGGCCGCTCCGAAGTTAAGCCAGCAGGCCGTCCCTCAGTAAAGCCCGCCGGCCCTGGCATTCTCAAGCCTGCCGGCCGTGCCATTGTTAAGCCAGCTGGTCGCCCCAGAGCTCGCTCCAGTGTCGGCTCCTGTTCTCGAGTCTAGCCTACGGAGGGCACCTGTTCCCGAGTTTAGCCCAGTGAGGGCTCCTGATCCCCAGTTAAGCCCAGGGAGGGCGGCCTCGGAGGCTGCTCTGCCATGGCCTTCTGAACTGTCTGCTCCGCCATGGCTCCACCAAGCTGCCTGCTCCGCCATGGCCTCCTGAACTGCCTGATCCGCCCTGGAGGCCTTCCTTGTCCCCGTCCTGCACCAGCCTCCAGGGCGCCCACCCTCCCTCCCCGGTGGAATTGTTACGGCACGGGACGCGCCTTTCGGGAGGGGGGAGTAATGTGACATGTTCATTTTGTTTTGTCATAGGTTTCTTTGTGTTTCCTGTTTGGTTCCTTTTTTTCCTTATTTGGTCATGGTCCTGTGTTCATTAGTTCCCTTGCTCATTGTTTAATTGTTAGTTTACCTGTATCACCTGTGTCTAGTTAATTACCCTCGTTTGTCTTGTAGTTAAGCCCCAGTCTGTTCAGTCTTTGTTTGTCCGGTCACAGTTACTCAACGTTGTGTTTCCCATTGTCCTTCTGTCCTTTTGTTATTAACTGAGAGTTTGGTTTGCACCAGCTGTCTCCTTCGACTTCCTCCTGACACAACCGTGACATACAAGCAATGTTATTAATTAAATCCAGCAAATAGGAATTGAGTTAGAATGAATCAAATGAGCTCATTAAAAGTCAACCATTTAAAATGAGTAACTGCAAATAGCACGCAAAAAAATTAAGTAAAATTTAAATGAACATATTAGTTCAATGGACAAAAAAAAACTATGCTTATGAATACTACTTGAAATTATTTTGACAACACAAAATTAAGTTAATATTATTAATATTTAGTGGATTATTTAAAATAATGTGTTTTAATTGATTAAATCTTATTTCAGGTATGAATAACAGACAAAAGTCAAATATGAATTAGGAGCTTTTAATAAGCTATTTTTATTGCCAACAACAGTCAAAATCCAACTTTATTGAATAACAAATATTAATCAGTTTTAAATAGTGAACAATTCAAAGTGGCAAAAAAACATTTATATTGCATTTCTTTTTGGACTTTAAATTTAGCACAAAAACAGCTGTATGCGTTTGTCTGTGTGTGTACTGTATTCCTGTAAGGGTTCAGTCACTAGCTATGTTCCCATCCCTATTTGTATGCACATTTTGGGATATCTCGTAAAAAATGCTGGATGGAAATGCCAAGATGTGCATAAATTCTAAAAATGTACACATAAAAAAACAAATGTGCTCAATTGAGGTGGAAAATGTTTTTGTCCAATAAGAAGATACGCGCATAAACTATGATGGAAAAACATTTACCACATAAATCTATTGACGCGCAATACAAAACTCACATGATTTTGCCTCAACAGATAATGTGATTGGATTACTGGGCTCATTGGAATCATCAAGGGTTTGGTTGTAACATTTGTAATTAACTGTTATTATTAACTGTTAACTATTAACTGGCTACTATAGGTTTTAATTGTATCTACTATGATTGCTAGGCAAAAAATTATTGTAATAAAAATAAATCTTTCTTTCCTGAAATTGCTCACAGTCACAAGCCTCTTCTCCTGTAAGCTCAAAAATGTGATGGGAGTGTAATGATGACGTCACCACAGCTCTTTTCTGACTTCAGCTCTTTCCCCGGTCTCCCCTAATTTCACACAAACTGTCCAAAAAAATCTAGAAATTAATTTAGTTAAATAAAGTTTATATATTAAATTCGGTGAAATCTACAAACCCACAGAATGACATTGTACAGTGTACCAGCACGCATAAGAGTAATCAGTTGATCACAACATTTTATTCAATAGAATTTATTAATAGCATTTAGCAACAACACAGGTCTCAGTGGTTTATTTAAAATAACTCTCTTTGAAACTGCTCTGTGAATATCCATAAAACTGGACCGGGGATTTCTATAGCCTACACTCAGTCAGTGGTGAATTGAAGGCTATCTTCATTCACAGCAGTTGTCTGAGACCAGTTATACATATTGACCCACTGATCATACTATACTATAGGTAAAACTAGACCGAATTCAAAAATACAAACACTGAAGTGTCAAAGCTATAACTTGCAGAAAACACTGTGATACCTACATAACGGCGAGCATGAATAATGAGACTAATCGTCAGTCACTTTTTTTATTTATGAAATCATATGCCTTGACAGGCATGCGAATAGTAATAGCCTAATAATAACCACTACCACAACCATCATCATCTCGCATGTAATGTGTTTTAATATTTCCATTATTAGTCCTCTGTTGATGGCCTCATCGGGTTTTGCGTTAAACATTGTCAATACCCCATTCAAATTTTACTTCTTGGTGGTTTGTTTTTAATAAAGCACACATCTGCAGAATCTCCATGTAACTGGACTAATCTGTGTGGACTAATCTTGTTGTTGTTGTTGTTGTTGATGATGACAAAAAGATTTAAAATTTACATTTTTAGGCCAGTCAGCCTCAGCAGCGCTCGTCAGTATCAAAATGATTGAGATGACCCATCAAATCGAAGTAGGCGGGGTTTACTGTTCACTGAAGCGGAGTGTGAATTCCAGCGCGTAGCATCAGTTTTAACATTGAAAGAGAGCGAGATAAGCTGATGAGAGTAGTGAGACATTTAAGTATATTGTTGATCACGGGGGTTAAATATAAGTGAAATATATTCTTGTGTATGCTCAAATGCAACTTTTGCGTTCTCATAAGTAGCTACTGCGCCCATCATTACAGCATCAGATACAGAATCAGCTTCTTTTGCTGCTTCC